CAAGCTCTATCATTGCAGTCAGCGTGTGTTGCAGTGCTTCAGTCCAAAAGAAGTGAAATAAAAAGCGCCCATCCATAAAAAAAAGTGGCTCACGTGGCTCCGGGGGGGTGAACAAAGGCCTCCTGTAGTGAATCGATGCGTTTTTATAAGAAAAATATCCATATTCAAAACCTAATAATCAATTTAATCTAGCTTGTGCCAACAGTTGTACACGGAAGCAGCTCTGGGCGGATGAGGTATGAGTATGAGCGTTGCGCATGCGCCGGTGAGTCTCGTGAAAACCAACGTTTGTTTACAGCATCAAAGGAAGCAAAGTTTCCTTACTTTAGCAAAGGAAAACCAGTTTCCTCTTGGCTTATATCGAAATCCTCCGACATTCTTCTTTACAAATCCTTGTTTTGTACTTCTGATTAGTGACCGTTGTTTTGTTTTGATCTCTCACCTGCGCTTCCGCGTTCGTCACTTCTGAGCGGCACATGCGCAAAGCTGACCTAGGAAGCAAAGTTTCCTTACTTTAGCAAAGGAAAACCAGTCTCCTCTTGGCTTATATTGAAATCCTCTGACATTCTTCTTTACAAATCTTCGTTTTGTACTTCTAATTAGTGACCGTTGTTTTGTTTTGATCTCTCTGCTGCGCCTCCGCATTCATCACTTCTGAGCGGCGCATGCGCAATGCCGACCTCATACGTCATCCGCCCGGAACTGCTTCCATGTAAAACAGTGAGTGCAAGCTAAATTAAATTGATTATTAGGTTTTGAATATGGATATTTTTCTTACAAAAACGCATCAATTCGCTACAGGAGGCCTTTGTTCACCCCCCGAAGACATGTGAGACACTGTTTTTTTTATTTCACTTCTTTTACTTTTGGACTGAAGCACTGCAACACCCGCTGACTGCAATGATAAAGAATTAAAAATGACAATTTTTAATATAACTCCGACTGGATTCGTCTGAAAGAAGAAAGTCATATACACCTAGAATGCCTCGGGGGTGAGTAAAACACAGCCTAATTTTAATTTTTGGGTGAACTAACCCTTTAAACTAGCAAAAGTGGATTTGGACACGCCCTAAGTGCACCTGCACCTTGCGCTTTAGACCATGCACTTAGATCGTTAAAATAGGGCCCTTTGTTTCACTTTCAACAAATGCACTGCTGACTCAAATCAACATGACTTGCTACTGCCAATACATCCACAGACATGCTGCAGTGAGCATGTAAGAAGGCATCTAGAGCTTCATGACAGAACTTTGTATATAATAGCAAAGTGAATTAATTTATTTGTGTGAAAAGTAGTCACAACATTCATAATTCTTGTGCTTTAATTTCAGTGTAAGAGTGGTGTCCGGTTTACTGCAGTGATGCTGTAACTCCAGGGAAGACATGAAGCGTCAGCTGACCTGTTTGAAAATTAATAGTGATGTAATGTACAAAATCATTACTATTAGTATCTTTATTACTAATACAGTTATTATTATGTACTATGACACTGATTTTTTTAAATATATTTGCTACCTTTTTTGCAATATGCAGCATTTTATGTAACCAAGAACATAGAATGTTTTATTAATGATAGTAAATAAATGTTACAAAAAAAATTCTAAATGTATTTGTAAAGTTAGAAATTAATACATCAGTATAATTTAATCTTTTTATTGTTTTTTATTTCATCTTTTTAACATATTACATGTTAGATAACTGTGTTAATTACTAGAGACTAGAGTAATAACAACAACTAGCATATGTCTAATTACAAGCAGCTCTACAGAGTAATTACACAAGTATTTTTTACTTTGAAGGTATATTTGCCGCATTCATTTCAATATACGGAAGAACTGTTTTTCTAAAAAAAATGAATCAGGAAATAAATCAAAAGATGAAGCAGTTTGGACACTACACAACTTAACTGTGTTATTTATGTGCATTTTAAAAAGTTGATCTTAATGATCTGCCTATGATAACGTATAATAATGAATATCCTCCTGTGTAAGCTTAAATGTGCATTAGCTCTCTACATTGTACTTGATTCCCTGCCAATAAAAGCTTCATAGATCTTTCTGTATTAATGTAATGGTATCCAAACACATTAGTACAGACAGCATGTGGGAGACGTTTGGCTTGTGTTCTCCTGTTAACTCCTTGAAACGGGATGCATGACAGGTTTTCCAGACATGAAGGATGGTAGAAATGTTCCTCTTACTCTGAATGATGATCTTGTGAGGATCATGCAAGTTCAGAGCCTTGTCAAGTCACTATAAAAACTCAAATGTGCATTTTTGCAGAGGAACACCTTAACCAGTGTTGGGGGTAACACATTACAAGTAACGCGAGTTACGTAATCAGATTACTTTTTTCAAGTAACTAGTAAAGTAACGCATTACTTTTTAATTTACAAGAGAATATCGGAGTTACATTTTCAAATGAGTAACGCAAGTTACTTTTTTTTTCAATTTATTGATTGACAGCTCTCCTGTCCCCATGTTGAGAGAAATCAGAAGATGTTACTGTAGTTAAAATAAATATGAATATGCATTAATTCATCTCACTCACAAAAAAAAAACAGATTCAGTATTGCTCAAAATTAATAAAAATAATGCAACCCAGAATATGATGCAAACCTGCAATAATTAAATGTTAAACAACACAAATATCCTTTATGTATTTAATCCCATCATAACTGATATTTATGGTCCTCAAGACGATGAATCTGTGGACTAGTTCTGTCATGCTGCAGATAATTCATGTGAAAGTTTATTTTTAAACATTACGTAGTTTGTTAAAGCAGCACTATGTAACTTTTTCTGTGTTCAAAATTTGCTAAATGTATATAATGAGCGAGTACATCATAAATTCATCTTCCAAACCACGTTTTTGTCTTATTCCGAATCACTACGGTACACTTATAATAAGTACTTATATTTGGACTATTGTAGCCTGGTCGGGTCATCACCGCTGCGGAGTAACACATACCTGCGTGAATCGCCACAGACATAAATTTAGAGAAGTAGCTCCGGTTGGAATGTTCTTCCGCGGGATGTGTGCAGTTCTGTTTATTAACCGAGCGCCAAAAGTTACATAGTGCTGCTTTAAATACGCATACTGGCTTCTTTTAGGTAGTTCTCCAGCAAATGTTTTATATACGATCTTGAGAAGTCAGATTTGAGATGGAATGGCTTAGAGTAAATGGTTCATGGGTGAAACGGAACCTGGTCTTTTTTTGTACACAGTGCTAATAACCCATAATATAACATAATATAAACACTTGAATGATTTTATTGACCATTTTACAAAGTGTGTTCTATGGCTTCAATTATAAATGATTACCAGAATATATAATGTTAAACCTCATCACAAAACATCAAGTCAAATAGCAAAAGCAAGTCTCTGTTTATGTAATACATAAATAACTGGCATACATCCGCTGGTAGTGTACATAGGAGTTACTTAAAGTCTACTTAAAGTACAGCTAAAAGTATATTTCAATTGTAAAAACAAAGACCTAAATAGGAACCGAATAGTACAAAAATAACAGAAATGGTCAAACATAAGTATGTTCACTTACAAAGCTTACAAGTATGCTTGAGGTGTACAAACTATTAAACTACTAGTTTACTTAGAATATCAGGTGTAGAGCGCAGTCTCGGGAGTACCCCCGGGCCTGCAAGGGGCGATGGGGGTATGTGACGAGTGGGGGCGGGGCCGAGAGCCGTGGGAACGGAGCGAGGCCGGTGGAGTAATTGATAATGAGCGACACCTGCACCACTCACCGGTCTCGAGTCTCACGGAGGAGCTCCGGTAGGATAAAAGGGAGGAGTGACGACCGTGTCGAACGAGAGAGGACCAGGCCTGGATTTTATTTTGCGTTTTGGTTTTGTTTGTGCGCGACAGTCGTCCGCGAGGGGCTGTCGCGCTATTTTGTGTTTGTTTATTTTATTAAAGTTTATTTAAATGTCCGCCGGTTCCCGCCTCCTTCTTCCCGTGACTACGAACTTTGTTACAGTATGCAAGGGAGATTTACTATTTAGCCTTGGCACCAATCCAAATTGCAGATGCTTTTTAGAGCTTAAAGGAATATTTCAGCCAAAAATGAAAATTAGCTGAAATATTTTGCACCCCCAGGCCTTCCAAGATGTAGATGAGTTTGTTTCTTCATTGGAACAGATTTGGAGAAATGTAGCATTACATTACTGAATGGGTGCCGTCAGAATGAGAGTCCAAACAGCTGATAAAAACATCACAATAATCCACACCACTCCAGTCCATCAGTTAAGATCTTGTGAAGCGAAAAGCTGCAAGTTTGTAAGAAACAAATCCAGCATTAAGAAGTCTTAACTTTAAACTGTTTAAACTGTCACTTGAGTGTCACCAAATATGAGTCCATAATAACGCTTCCTCCATTGAAACAGTCAATCTCCTGTTGTCCTCTCACATATTTGTCTAGAACTGTTTTGGACTGTTTTCACTTGTAATTTAAACAGTGCTTGATCTGTGCATATTTCTCACCCAATTCAGACAAGATGACTTATTTTCTACACAAGATTATGTATTTTAGCCGGAAACAATGGTTTGAAGTTAAAAATGTCTTGATGGATTTGTTTATTACAAACACACAGCTTGTGGATTACTTGCATTGCTTGTGGATTATTGTAATGTTTTTATCAGCTGTTTGGACTCTCATTCTGACGGCACCCATTCACTGCAGAAGATCCAGTGGTGAGCAATTGATGTAATGCACAATTTCTCCAAATCTGTTCAAATGAAGAAACAAACTCATCTTCATGATACATGATATGGCAGTGTAAATTTTCAGCAAATTTTCATTTTTGGGTGAACTATTCCTTTAAGAAGTAGTGATTATTGGAAACAGATGCTTTTTAGAGCTTAAAAGGAATATTTCAGCCAAAAATGAAAATTAGCTGAAATATTTTGCACCCCCAGGCCTCCCAAGATGTAGATGAGTTTGTTTCTTCATTGGAACAGATTTGGAGAAATGTAGCATTACATTACTGAATGGGTGCCGTCAGAATGAGAGTCCAAACAGCTGATAAAAACATCACAATAATCCACACCACTCCAGTCCATCAGTTAAGATCTTGTGAAGCGAAAAGCTGCAAGTTTGTAAGAAACAAATCCAGCATTAAGAAGTCTTAACTTTAAACTGTTTAAACTGTCACTTGAGTGTCACCAAATATGAGTCCATAATAACGCTTCCTCCATTGAAACAGTCAATCTCCTGTTGTCCTCTCACATATTTGTCTAGAACTGTTTTGGACTGTTTTCACTTGTAATTTAAACAGTGCTTGATCTGTGCATATTTCTCACCCAATTCAGACAAGATGACTTATTTTCTACACAAGATTATGTATTTTAGCCGGAAACAATGGTTTGAAGTTAAAAATGTCTTGATGGATTTGTTTATTACAAACACACAGCTTGTGGATTACTTGCATTGCTTGTGGATTATTGTAATGTTTTTATCAGCTGTTTGGACTCTCATTCTGACGGCACCCATTCACTGCAGAAGATCCAGTGGTGAGCAATTGATGTAATGCACAATTTCTCCAAATCTGTTCAAATGAAGAAACAAACTCATCTTCATGATACATGATATGGCAGTGTAAATTTTCAGCAAATTTTCATTTTTGGGTGAACTATTCCTTTAAGAAGTAGTGATTATTGGAAAGTAAAGTTCACATATTGTAGTTCTAAATGTTTTTATTACAAATAAATTTGTAGAGAGGACATTGAACAAGTTTTTTGTTTTCTAATAATATTCAGTCAATATGACCTGACAGTAAATAGAAATATATAATGATGACAACAAGCTTCTCATCCACAAAAGCGTCGGCTTGACATCCACATATAGTTTTTTTTTGTGTGTAGAAATCAGAAACATGACAGTGGAATCATCACAGAAGAAATTAACATCTTAAAACTTATTATTTAAAAGATCACAGTATGATGATAACATTTGATTCACATTTACTGCACCTAAAACGATTTGTCTTATAGCTTTTTTAGGCACCGTTACATTGATTCTGTACAAGTTAAACAGTATATGTCCCTTGCTTAACAAGGGCTGAAAAATATTGATAATAATAACAAAAATCAAACTTTGACAGCATGAATTCTACAAGAGTGAACTGTAATAACATCTCCAGTCGGTGAATGGATCACAATAGTGTCATGGTCAGTGTCATATATATATATATATAACAGTGGTTCTCATGTAGTGGATCTGGAGGTCTGTTCTGAACAAATATCTGCTAAATGCAATAAAAAAGAAAATGCTGGTAACACTTTAAAATAAGGTCCCATTATTTATCATTAGACAATGCATTAATTAACATGAACTAATAATGAGCAATTCATTTGTTACAGTACTTAATCTTTGTTAACAAAAAAATACAACTGTTCTTTGTTAGTTCATGTTAGCTCCGCTGCATTAAATAATATTAACAGATAACAACTT